ATTTTGAATGCTGTTTCAGATTCGGGTGTCCAATGAAAACTGTCCCGTTTCAACATCTCTGTCAGGGGAAAAGCAATGTTGGCATAGCCCTTTACAAAGCGACGATAGTAACCAGTGATACCTAAAAACCCCCGTAACTTCTTGATAGTGTGTGGTAATGGAAAAATCAGGAAGTTGTAAAATAGGGGCTTCGACCATGGCTGTTTGAGAGCTGCAAAAGCAGAATCCGCAGCAACACTCCATTCAAAGGCATCCTTACGCAAAAGGTCTGTAAGAGGAGCAACAATTAAAGCATATTTAGTCACAAATCGACAATAATATCTTGAGTCCTAAAAAACCGCATAGCTATTTAATGTTTTTGGGAGTAGGCCACTACACCATGGCTTTAATCTTCTTAGGATTAGCATGAACACCTATAGAAGAGACAATGTGGCCCAAGTATTCGATGGAATGCTTGCAAAAAAAACACTTAGAGAGCTTAGCATAGAATTTATGTGAGTATAAACGATGCAAAACCAGCTCTAAATGTTGAAGATGATCATCCAAAGAATAACTATATATCAAAATATCGTCGAAGAAAATAATGACGAACCTTCGAAGATAAGATGAAAATAGTTGGTTCATGGTTGCCTGAAATGTCGATGGGGCATTTGCTAAGCTGAAAGGCATAAAAAGAAACTCAAAGTGACCATCATGAGTATGAAATGTCGTCTTGTATACATCTTTAGAGTGTACACAAATCTGGTGATATCCATCATGCAAATCCAGCTTGCTAAAAATTGAGGCACCCCCCAACTCAGCCAAGAGTTCATCAATAGTAGGAATTGGGAACTTATCCTTCACAATGGCAGCATTAAGGGCCCTATAATCGACGCAAAATTTCCACGACCCATCTTTCTTACAAACAAGCAAAACAGGAGATGAGAAAGGGCTATGGCTTGGTCGAATGATCCCTTGCTCAAGCATTTCGCGAATTAACTTTTCCATCTTCGATTTTTGAAAGTGTGGGTATCTATATGGACGAATGTTGACAGGTTTGGTGCCGGCGATCAAATGAATGCGATGGTCAATAACACGATGAGGCGGTAGGCCTAAAGGGTGTTGAAAAAGATCCTTGTATTTGAGCAATAATGGTTGAACTGTTGAGCTTAGGAGAGCTTGAATCTTAAAGGAGTTTTGATGATCACAACAAGTATACAACAACAACTTGGAGCACAAAAACAAAGGCAAAGAAGAGTCAAGAAAATGCTATGAAATGGAGCTATGTAATAGAGCTTAGGAAATAAATTGTTTTGAATGTGTTTTTATATTTTGTGTGCTTAATATGCTTTGTGCATAATCAAATCTTATCTAAACTAAGTAGAGAGTATATGATGATGAGTTAAAAACATTGGAAAGTTATTTTGAGTCTTAAAATGAAGTTTTAAGAACTAACTCAAAATAATCGATTATTGTTAAATATAATCGATTATTCCAGCTAATAGGCTAAGTGGAATGCCTTGCTGTAATAATCGATTATTTGCCAAAATAATCGATTATCCCAGGAACAACTCTCTGGAATAATCGATTATCCAGCTAAATAATCGATTATATTGTTCTTGGTTGGTTTCCAGAAAATCTGAAGAACAAAATAATCGATTATTCTTTAAAATAATCGATTATCTGTGTCTGAAACTTTTATAAATAGTTTGAACTTTGAGAAACTTCAGACATGAGTTAGAACTGATAATCAATTTGTGAAAAACGTTTTTGTGAGTCTTTGTGACATCTTGGAGAGTTTTCTTTGTGAAATCCAAGAGTGAAAACGTTTGTGAAAAGCTTGTGAGAAGATCATCATCATCATATTCTTGAAAGGGGAAGATAAAGATTTGTTCAAGAATTCCAGGTGAATTCGTTCCTTTTATTCTTTGTGAATCTTTGTGAAAAATCTTGAGAAGGGTTTCTCAAGTGGTAAGGTTTCTTGTAGTGGGTTCTACAAGGGGTGCTTTCTTGGGGTCAAGAAAGTGGTTATCTTTTAGTGTTGAAGTATATGCATGTGTGTGTGCTTGTAAACCTTCTTGCTTAAAGATAGTGGAACAAATCTTAATCAGGTGTTGATTAAGGACTGGATGTAGGTCACATGTGGAGTGGCTGAACCAGTATAAAAGACTTGTGCAATCTTCTTCTACCTTATCTTTTACATTGTGTAATTTCTTGGTTGAACTTTAAAGAAGATAAAACTTGATTAACAAGTGTATGTGAATCTTGATGGTTTAAATCTGTAATTGAACATTATTTTTGAACCTCATTATGTTGTAATCAAGTGAGCATATTGCATTCATATTTTCGTAACAAGTCTTTAGAAGAGCTTCATTTGGAAATTCTGTCATAGAAAAGTTTTGATTGAAATTAAGATCCAAAATACTCTGATAAATTTTTAAAGGGTCATTGAATCCAATTCACCCCCCTCTTGGATTGTGCCATTCTTTTCTATCATGAACTGCAGGGGAAATGTCCAATGGCAAGGCAAACTCTGATGAAATGGTAACCATATCAACCACTAAACTAGAAAGCTCAAAAAGAAAAGGAGAATCCTTATGGTGAACAAGAGCTTGTAAGTGATGGATAGAAATTAGACTCGGCAGAGATTTGGTTTCACCTCTAAGAGTCACCTGTTGACCTTCCAAATAAAATCCATAGTGAGAGCTGAGTAATCATGTGATACTCGACCAAGAGATTGGAGCCAAGGAAACTCGAAAACAACATCAGGACCTTCAATCTCCAACATAAAGAGATTGACTGTGAATTCAATTCCTTGCATAATCAAAGACGTTGTAGGACAACTATATTGACAACTCAAGAAAGCACCACTGCCTGTGGAAACTCGAAAATGAGGAATAGGTGTTACTGGAAGAGCCAATTGTTCAACCAATTAGGGTTTGATGAAATTGTGAGTGTTGCCGCTATCAATTAAGACTTGAAATTGTTTTGAGCCAAAAGACCCGAACACGTGTAAAGAGAGGCCCTAAAGTTGACAAAAAAGAGTGTCAAGGGTGGAAATATCACCAGAAACATCCTCGGGTGTCATATCCTGATCTCCCAATTCCTTGTTGGTAGGAGTATCATCATCCTCGCAACCAAGGAGCAATAAGTATTTGCTTTGACAACGATGATTGGGTCCAAATTTTTTATCGCAATTGTAACAGAGACCGCGCTCTCTCTCTTATCACGCAACTTTGTTGGTGTTAGACGCCAAATCGGAAGGGTCGGTGAGGGTAAAAGAGGTGGAAGTTTGGTTGTATGTGCGGTTTGAGAATTGGGCTTGGTTGTTGGAATACGAGAAACCTCGCTTGGGTCGATTACACTTGACAGTTGGACTCGACCCGTTACATGTCTAGAACAAAAGGAAGAAGACCCACGAGGACTTCCTTTTACTGTAACAGTTGCATCATCCATTCGAGCTTCATAAGCACTAGCCATGGGAAAGGCTTCCATCAATGTTATTGGACGATGGAATTGTAACTCACGACGAATGTCCGCTTGAAGACCGGTAATGAAAAAACTAATGAGAAGAGGTTCCGATATACCTGTAACTTTGTTCAACAATTCCTCGAATTGAGTTTGGAATTCGACAACCGATGACGTCTGTGTGAGTTTCGAAAGATTGCCTTCATAATCCTCATAAACATTAGGACCGAATCAGTGTTTAACCGCGGTAATGAAAGAAGGCCAATTAGAGAATAGATCATTTCTCTTGGCCCATTGAAATCAAGCCGCTGCACGTCCCTCCAAATGAAAGGAGACAATCTGCAATCGTGTGTCTGGTGGGGTTCCATAATAATCAAAATAAGCTTCAATACGAAACAACCAATCAGCAAGATCAGAACCATCAAAACGTGGGACATCGAGTTTCATTGAGCGAGGTGTCAATGTGTGTGAACGATGACTCAGAATCCGCGTGAGTTTGTTGAAACTCGGTACAAAGGTTAGCCATCTTGGTCCCCACAGAAAACATGAACTGTTGCAAGGAAGCATGGATTGAATCGGAGAGAGTATCCAACTGTTTTTGAGAAATAGCAGAAGAAGACATGGCACCCAATCTACAAAATGGAGAAGAAGAATCAATGAAAGCACCAATGTTATAGTAGAAATAGAAGAGCACTTTTCGAGCAGGCGTTTGCTCCAAAAAAAGAAAGACGAAGGAAGAAAGAAGCAAGAGAGAATAATTCTATTATAATTTCAATTCACCTCTTTTCCAATTCCACTACAAATTTATAAGGACTCAACATGTAAGATTGTCCAACCACCTTGTGCTAACAATATCATATTAGTAAAAACAAAATAGTATCCCCATTCAGTATTATTTGTATATTAAGATTTATTTATAGTAAACAAAGTCACTCAATTTAGTGGGCCTCTTGATGGTGTGTTTGGGCCTCCCACTTTCCACCAATGATTCCTCTATCATCCCTTCAGCAGGTACTTGCATAGATATATGACCCAACTCAATAAGAAGAGCTTGCTTATAAACTATATCAGTATGTTTATCTCTCACTCTCCTCTTGTCATAGCCTCGTGTCATGTGAAAAGTCTAGCACTGTTTTAGTAAATATTTTAAAGAAAAATTATAAGATTGATTGAGTAGTTTAAAACTAAAAAGAAACTAAACTAAAAACTGCTTTTAAGTTTTGACATTTTTATAACTCAAAACTAAAGGGCAGCCGAAACAGGCCTAAGATAAGTATTTTTAGGACTCTTTTGTATAAAGACCACAAATATTCTCCATAAGAGCTGGATATCATAGGACCTAACTTAGGTCTTACAATTGAAAATGAAAAGATGTTCAATAATAATGTATGTAAACTTTAAATTTGTAGACCTTCGATCTCTGGTGATTACATTGGATCACAACTAATTGGATTACATTGGATCACAACTAATTGGATAAGTTAGACTCATCTAAGGAGACAAAGACCTCCATGAAACGGATATAAGTAAATTTGAAAGCTAAAACTTTCATATCCATAATGAACAAAACACATTCATTTTCACTTCTAAAAAATTCCAGTACGTTTGCTCATTCAAATATTTAATCAAGAAAGACAAACATCTGTTCATTCAAAAAAAATAAGCTATGTCATTTTTTTTTCCTTCTCTAAGCTATATTCCACATCTAAATAAGGTAAGCAATAACATTGTGTGAACTTCCACTCCAAAATCTGGTCTTCTGCTTTAAAATCCTCTTCACCTAAGATAGGTAGATGATATCCATAATAAGACATATGTTATCAATGATGAGATCGCTTCAAATGCCCTTGGTCCCTTGAGTAAGGTAATAGGAGGAATTACTGACACCATCAAGAAGGTTGCCAACAGCCACGAGATAGCAAATGCTCCAACCCTGCATCAAAGCACCATTTTAAAAAGGAAAACCTAAAGAGAAAAGCCACAAATGCATCAAATTCTAAAGAAGGGCACGATGATATTAGCATCATAATGTTCACACCATGAGATATCACTGAAAAATAACAAATCATGATCTGACGGAATATATTCTTAACATATTTGAAAAAATAAGAGATATCTTTATGTACATACCCATATAAAAAAGCTCGTATCTTGCTCTTCAGCCGATCATATATAAAATATATTGTAGCGATCAGAGATAATGCTACCTGGAGAGTTGGCCCTTCCTCAGTTGGAAAGAGTACAGTTAAAACTCCAAGTAACAAAAATGCTAGTGACGTTTTTATAATGAATTTTGTAGATGGAGTTTGAAATCTGCCTCGGACAGCCTGAACAAATCGGGATTGATTGACTTCCCTCACTTTTTTCTTAATGTCAATTTTTGGGTTCTTCCGCTCATAGAACTTTTGCATGATTATTTTGTCATGTGCTGACTCAATTGCATCTACACTTGCCTTGTGTCCAGCATATTTTTGAATAAGGAAGTTCCTTGCTGATTGAATTTCATCTTCAGAAGCTTCCCTGCTTATTCCAAGTCGTTTATATGGGTCTCTCACATTAATTCTTGGAAAAACAGCTGCATTTGCAGCAAAAGATCAGAAAAATGATAAGCTAAGCAGTACTATATTATTGGTTTTAAAGGAACCCACTATGACATGCAAGTAATATATTTCACAGATTTCAGCAAAAAGAAAGTTGTGGGTCGGAATGAAGAGAAAAAGTCATTATGGACAAACAACAAGGCAAAATCTATTACCCATGAAGTAGTTATTAATCTGGAAAAAAAAAAGTTTTATACCACAAAAATAAAAGGCTGAAAAACAGTTTCCTTTTCAATCTTTAACAGCCAGTCCACCTAGCCTCCCCAGCTGGTAAGGTGTCATTCTATTTTTATCATTGTATGCCTCTCGAAAACACCAAGATCTATGAATGATGTGTTTAAATAATACTAAAAATGATGATATGATTGCAATTCAACAATCCAATGAATAAAAGCACAAGAAAATTCCTAGTCTAGCATTCAGGAGAGGACCAAACATCCACTATGATCACATAATCATTTTCAATTTTAATTTTATTTTTACTAACCTATTGCTTCAGGGAAAAGTACCATTTCCCTAGTACCTAATATACCAGTTTTACTTATTTGATCAATGCCCTAGCAGTGACATTTTCTGTATCATAAAATATAAAAATTGAGATCTTCAAGAAAGAAAATTACCAGAAGAATCATTAGCCATATCGCCATATGAAGCATCCATTGCACTTTTGATCAACTGAACTTGTCGTCCATTGCTTTTTAGTATTGGAGACATAAAGCTTGTTCTGTAAAGTGAGAAGGTGAGGAAAATAATGAATTGTTCATCCATTCAACTTAGCAGAACCTTACATCATGTTCCAAGTTCAAGAGGTAGTTGTTCTTAACACATACCTTTCCACCTGGACTAACTCTATCCCTTGTTTCCATTTTCCAGCCACAGAAAAGGCCATAACCCGAACATGGCGTGATCCCAAGGGAGCAAAAGGTAGCTGGGGACATCTTGAGGTACAACCACTCAAACTAGATGCAGTCATTGCTACTAAAATCCTCTGTCAATATGATCTACCTGTTTACGCTTTGTGAGAAATTGTGATCACCACTTGATGTTTCAAGGTTCAAAAAAAGAAAATCAACAACAATGGACAAAGATTGCAGCACCAGATATGGCCTGTTTGGATAATTTTTAGAAGCTCTCTACAAATAGTTTCTCCAAAATCTTGTTTTTAACTTGTATATAAGCTAAGCTTAGCATATAGAAAAGTTTATTTCAATTTTCCTTTCTATTTTTTTTCCTCCTATAAGTGCTTTTGGACAAGTTTATCCACACAGACCCATAAAAAAACAAGTAGGACAATTATCATGCATTACAAACCAATTGTTATCAATATCATCATATACCTAATCTATCAATTCTTAGATTCCAAAAGTCAGTCTCTAAAGTTCTGATTCAACATACCACCATTTTTCCTCCTACTTTTCTTGCCAGATAAGAAGATCCAACTTAAATATTTTGCTCGAATTGTTCACTGCAAAGAACTTTAACCAGCTAATTATCTACAATGCAACTTAGCACTACCAACATATCTAGTACTATCATATACCAACTAGTTCATACTAAGTTGCAACCCTAGGTTTTAAATTGTGGCCCACAACCGCATTTCATTGTTTTAAAAATCCAGTACCTTAATTTTCAGCAAGCACAACTTAAAATGCTGACCCGATTAACAATAAGAAAAATTATGAAAAAGAAGAAAGCGCAGCAAAGAGGGGCAAATAAATATGAGAATATGGAAGCAGAAATGAAAGTAGAAGAATTGAATTGACATAGAAATGGAAGAATAAAAGCAGAATGAGAGAGAATATAAAAGTATTGTATTGGATTTGAAAGGAGAAGTTGGGGTTACCAGTGAAAAAACAAAGGGTGTTAAGAGTTCAGACGGTGTTGGATTCCTTCAGCTTTGACATGTGATGAACGGATAGCGAAAGTGCCGAACCAGCCAGACCCAAACCAAAACCCTGCTCCACCCAAACAATCAAAAGGGTAACAAATAGGGTATATTTACTTGCATTTTTTTTTTCTTCTCTTTTCATTTTTTATTTTTTATGTTTAATTTGAAAATTTTCAATTATTTTGTATATAACACACGACTTTTTAGAAGAAAAAAAATTATATATAAGAAAAACATGAAAGGAATTGAAGATAAAGTGATAATTTTATAATTAAAAAATAGGAAACGAGAAGGTTCTTACATTTGTGTGATTGGGAAATTATTTTAAAAATTAATTAAGTAAATTGGATTGTTTTAAAATTATTGACATCTTTGGAACTATTTTGTTATGGTCTATAGTGACTCTAATGTTACATATCAATTTTTTTTTAAGAAGTCATGAAGTAAAGATTGTTAGAGCCAATAGTGCTCCAACTAAAGTCGTTACTCGTAATACTTCATTTTTCAAAAAAAGATTATTATTATTATTATTATTATAATATAATATTTAGTTAGAATTATTTTTATAATTATAGAAATATTATTTTGTACGTTTTAAATAATTATTGTTTTGGATAATTATTTTATACGTATTAAATGAGTATTTTATTAGCATTTTAAATAATTATTTATATGTTTTAAGGGATAATTCAGGAATTAATAAATTATATATTTTATTTTAAAATCTAAAATGTTGATTTTATATGATATTTTAATATTGAAATTATATTATTATATTTTTTGTCAGAAAAATATTATTATTATTAGTATAGAGAAAAAATATTTTATATAGTATATATATTTATTTTATTTAATTATTTTGAGGAAAAAGAGAAGTGGGTCGGAAAGGGTAATGAATTGGGTTGACCCGGCCTGAAGGAATGTAAAGAAGGGGTTAGTAAATTAATTTTCATTAGTCTCATTTAGCATTTTCTAAAGGAGTAAGAAAAAGAAAAAGGAAAAACAAGAACTCTGAGGAGGAGTGCTTAAGAAGAGATTAGGAGCAACTTCCTCTACATCAAAAGTATTCTGATTAACGCAACCAGATACGGGAGAAAATAGGATATTTATGTGTAGAGTCACATGAGGGAATGGGTGGGGAAGAACTCTCGTGAAACTTTTAATAATTTTATAATTGTTTTTGTCTGAAGAGTTATTGGTATAATGAGATTTTGTATATGTTGATGATTATGAATATGTGAAGAATTGTTAAAATTGATGTTCTGAGAGAAAAATTGAGTTGTTTGAAATATGTTTGTGAGTTATGAGGGATTGGGGTTTTGATAATTGGTAAGTTATTTTGTGAAATTGATGATTCAATCGTGTTTCATATTTATTTATAAATTTGGTTGTGATATTATTTGGTAAAATTGATGATTTAGAGGATGATTGGATTTATTGGGATGTGCTCTATAAGTTAGGGTTCTTGTAGATCGATGACACCCTTAATTATATGAATTGATGAGTAATTGAGAGATTTTTCCTTGTGGATGTACCTTAGTATTTTTGTTGTATCTTTCTGTTTTATTAACCAAATCAATTTTCGTTTATTGGGTTAGAAAGTAGACACTTGGGGCTATAATTTAGACTCTAGAATCGTGTAAAAATGTTAAGAATTGATTGAGTTATGCGAGAGTTATAAGTTCGGTCTCCATTCTAGTGTCCGAAAGATTAAGTTTCGTGTTGTCAGCCATCCTAGGTGACCTTAACTATATTTTTAGGCTCCATGTTTTTCACAAAAGTTTTATCTTTGGGTGTTATATTTTTAATGGTTTTGGAATCACTCAAAAAGAATGTCTAGAACTCTATATATAGTTGTTTTAGTGAACAGGCGTCAAGCTGTCAACGTGGATTACATCTGTTGCGCTTTTTGACATTTTTAGCTAAGTAGATGATTTTTTTGATTTCATGTCTTCATAAGAGTTGTAGATTATCCTCTTATGTTTCTTTTTGGATAGGTTTGAACTTATTTGGATGAGTATAACCCTCTATGTTTTTTTTTCTTTGATAGTTGTCAAAGGAAGACGAATGTTGTTTTGATGTTCTAAGGTGTTATGGTTTAATTGATGATTTAATTGTGATGCTAGTATGTTGGTATGAATTGAATGTGATGTGATTGTGGATATCCTCACACTTATGTCAGCGTGGCACGACCTTGAGCATGAGAAGCTACAGGGGTGGCGTGAGCATGACATAGTGCGGGACGTGTGAGACAATTAACACGTATATCGACGTGACACGTCCTTGGGCAAGAGATGCACTAAGGGTAGCATGAGCATGACATAGTGTTAATTGCAAGATTTGTGTGTAGCAATTGGTATGAATTGAAATGTGATGTGATTGTGGATATCCTCACACTTATGTCAACGTGGCACGAACCTGGGCATGAGAAGCTATTGGTGTGGTGTGACATAGTGTGGGACATGTGAGGCAATTAACACGTATGTCGATGTGGCACAACCTTGGGCAAGATATGCTACAAGGGTGGCGTGAGCATGACATAGTGTTAATTGCAAGATTTGTGTGTAGAAATTAGTATAAATTAAATGTGATGTGATTGTGGATATCTTCACACTTATGTCAATGTGGCACGACCTTCGGCATGAGATGCTACAAGGGTAGCGTGAGCATGGCATAGTGTGTGACGTGTGAGGCAATTAACATGTATGTCGACGTGGTACAACCTTGGGCAAGAAATGCTACAGGGGTGGCGTGAGCATGGCATAGGTGAGGAAGATCCGGCTATGAGTGGCATCTAAAATGTCAACAGTTGAATTATGAGTGTGCTATGATATTGTGACATCGGGGCAGAAGATTTTTATGACAGATTTTGTATATGTATTTGGAGTTATACTTATTCTTTTGAAAATAATTTGTAAATTCTTATGTTTTATTTTCCAAATTTTATTTTTAATTATTTTGAACATTGAAGAACATTTATAAAGGTTTTTATGTAGACCCTTTTACCAATATTGAAAAATTTATTTCTTTAATTTATTTACATTATTACAATATATGTGTTGGGGTTAGGGATGGCAATGGGGCGGGGCGGGGACGGGGTTCATGATACCCGTCCCCGGCCCCGCGAGCCAAATCCATCCCCGTCCCCGTACCCGTACCCGTCGGGTATGTGATTTTCATTCTCATCCCCGTCCCCGTCGGGTATGGGGTATACCCGTACCTGTACCCGTACCCGTCAAAATTTTTATTTTTATTTATTTTTAAAAAATATAATATTTTTAAATTATTTTTTTAATTATATTATAATTATAATTAGGTTATTTCTCTATCTCATATTATAATAAATAATCACACATAATAAAATATTAAAATTATTTAATATAATTAAATTGAAAGTGGGTATTAAATTAAAAATTGGAATGGGGACGGGTATGGGTACGGGTACGGGGCGGGTAAGTACATACCTGTACCCGTACCCGTACCCAATTTAATATATCGGGTTTTACCCGTACCCGTACCCGTACCCGGTCAAACCGGGTATTCTCCGTCAAAGTCAGGACGGGTTCGGGTATTACCCGCGGGTACAGGTAAATTTGCCATCCCTAGTTGGGGTAGTCAGAGTGTCACATTACCAGCTATAACGACACACAAGAGCTTATTCTTTTTACACACAACAGTTTATTTTTCTTTTTCATGAAATCACTACAGCCTATAACAACTAAATAAAATAAAATATTACAGATCAGGAAAAAAATTATATTTAAAAGAGTAGTTATAAGTCAGAACGACACTATTTAATTATTTTTTGTAAAAAATAATTTATTTAAATTTTTAACATATAAAATTTTAAAAAAAATAATTTTTTTATTTATTTTAAGGCTAACATAACTTCTTAAAAAATAAAGTAATAAATAAATTCAATTTTTAAAGAGAGAGGAGGGTTCAAACCACACCGATATAACTTTTATTAAGTATTACACCGCTTAATAACTTTATATTATATAAAAATTTTATAAATTTAACCGTTAGATTGAAAATTCTTTACTCTTAGATCATCATATATACAAAAATTTTATATTAATATAAGATAATTTAATACTTTATTCTTATAAAATAAAATTAACGTAATATATATATTTTAAAATATAATAAAATATGAACACTTTGATTATTAAATAAATTATTAAATAAATAAAAATAAAAATATTTTTTTAATATTTACCACCTTTTTTAGTTT